ATTTCAGTAAAGGCATATCTAATTTTTATTTATTTCTTTATTTCTTTATTTAAATTCAGTCTCCATAGAGACTGTCAAAAATTGCCAATGCTGACCATATTTCAGGTAGTCATGGCTGGGTATTGGGAAAAGTTTTCAATTAGCAATAATCGCGCCTTGGATAAACCTCATTGGCTATGATACTGCCACTGCGCAAAGCCAAGACATATCTAATTTTAAGTAATTTTGAAGTATATATTTAACTGAGTTTGCTTTGATAATGAGACCATCTCTCCCTTCCAGCTGCGGTCAGAGCAGGGGTATAGGAGGAGGGGTCCTAATGCAATGAAGGGTTACCCAGAGGACCCTTTAACACGGGGTGGCTTTAGGATCTGTGCCTCCGAGCCTGTGAGACATGACCTTCCCCTGCTCTGGATGCTGCTGCTCATGGTCAGGAATAGAGACAGAGGGACAGAGAGGAGCGAGCAATGGGATGAAGGAGGCCTGGGGATCAGATGCATGAGGAACATGCCTAAGGAGTTTGGTTCTCTCATAAAAAAAAATGAAGAACAGTTTTCTTTTACCATCTCCCCTTCCCTGCTGCATAAAAGTCTATGTGTTTTAATGTATATATTGCATATGTTTATTATTATTATTGCTTTTATTTTTTTGGAGATAGAGTCTTGCTCTGTCGCCCAGGCTGGAGCACAGTGGTGTGATCTCAGCTCACTGCAACCTCCACCTCCTGGGTTCAAGCTATTCTCCTCCTTCAGCCTCCTGAGCAGCTGGGACTACAAGTGCTCGCCACCATGCCCAGCTGGTTTTTTGTATTTTTAATAGAGATGGGGCTTTGCCATATTGGTCAATCTGGTCTCAAATTCCTGAGTACAGGCAATCTGCCTGCCTTTGCCCCACGATGTGCTGGGATTACAGGTGTGAGCCATTGCGCCTGGTCTATGTTGCATATATTTTAATTTTACTATTTACCATTACACTTACACATTTAATTTTACTATTTTACCATTACACTGGAGTCAATATTTTCATCCTGACAGATTCGTAGTGTGAGGTTGATAAATGTCTGATCTCACCTTATTCATAAAATTAGAACAATAATTTGTAACCTAAAGATGTGCTGTGGAAATTAAGTGAAGAATGCATTAGAGTGTGTAGCATAACACTTCATACACTGGAGTCTCTAAATTAAATCCCAGTTCTCTTTTCTCTTCTCCTCCCTCTCTTTTTCTTCTTCTACCTCCTTCTCCTCTTTCTTCTTCTTCTCTGATATTCTCTAGAGATATGATATAGAAATTTGTAGTTAAGTACCAACTTATGTCTTTGTGAGAAACAAATTAATTAAAGTTCACTTTTCTCAAAGGGCCATCTGGATCATGTGTGACTTGGTAAAAAGCCCCATAAACCTGCATACCTCAAGCATACCTCAGCTTTCTGTAACCTAAATGTAACAGGCAAGCAGTCCAAACCCACGCCATCTTGGCCCCTGTGACTTATAATTTCCACCCTACCCAGACAATGTGTAAACACATGCTTGTCTTGACTTTTGTGAACTGCTTAATTAACAATCAGAATGTCAAAAGTCCGGAGCCTCTCACCCTCATCTTTGCCCAGGAATCCACTGGAATGTCCAGAGCCCCTCACCCTCATCTCTGCCCAGGAGATGATTTACAGAATCTACTAGCCCTCGGAATGTCTGAAGCCCCTCACCCCCACCCCTGCCCCTCACCCTCACTCCTGAGGTGGTTGTACGGGTATAAAAGCTCTTGACATCCTCCTTTCGGGGCCACAGGTTGGAGAGACGTGAGTCCTCCATGGCCGCCAGCAATAAAGACCCTGCAATTTGGCATACTTTTGTCTTGGTGTTGACTTTCTATGCTCGGTTCAGTACAACAGTAGTCACAAAATTACACCCAAATGTGCAAGATAAATGTTTCTTTAATTATTCTAGTCTTGTTCCTGAGGCTTCACCCTGTGGGAGGCAAAAGCTTTCCAACTGAAGACATTTTGGGGTCTTGTGACATACATGGGCTTTGCTTTGGTCAGTGATCTTCCTTTCTTCTTCCCAAAAGGGAGTATAGAGGTTGGAGGAGATTATATGTGCTTAGAACAGGTGGGGAGGAGGGGCCCTGTGCTCCCCCCTTAGTCATTTTAGGTCTTCACCCTGGGGAGGCTGCTAGTACGATCTGGTCCTTAAGGTCCTTGAGGACCTATCTGCTGAGAATGGGCAGGTCCCGTTTGGCTGTTTGGGGACATTGTTAGTTCTTCCTCCCTTGACCCAAAGATGAAGCTCCTGGCCTGGGTAACTTGTCTCTGGATGCAAAACTGATATGGCTTCTTGCACTGACCCCAGGCCTTCCCTGTCCACCGGCTCTCGGGGGACCTCTCTGCCTCTCCGCTTTCCAGCAGAACATGTGAGATTTTCTGGGTCCTCAGCTTTCCATGTGCAGATGATGGGAGCCTCCTCCTCTCTCCTGACACCTTTCTCTGCCAGTGCCTTGTTCCGTGTTAGAGATGACACCTACCTATGTGGGTTGATTTGTTTTCTATCTGCTGCCATAAGAAATTGCCACAGACTTAGTGGCTTAAACCACCAGATTTACTGTCTTACAGCTGTGTAGGTCGGAAGTCCAGTAAGATGTAGACAAGGCTGAGTTCCTTTCTGGAGCCCCTGGTCTTTTCCAGCTTCTAGAGACCATCTGCTTTCTTTGATTTTTGGGTCCATTTTTCAAAACCAGCAACACAGCATGTCTGTGGCCCTGCTTCTGTGAATACATCTATTTCTCTGACCACAGCCTAGAAAAGTCTGCTTTCTAGGGTTGATGTGATCAGGTTCAACCCACCTGCATAATCCAGGATAATCTCTCTGTCTCAGGCTTCCTAATCTTTATCACATTGATAAAGACCCCTTGCCATGTATGTAACATATTCACACATCCTGGGGCTAGGACCTGGACGTTTTTGGAGGCCTATCGCAAGGGGATTTTCCTCTGGAAGATTTCTATCCTTTGAGCAATTCTTGGAGGCGGCAGATGACTATGTCTAATATTTTTTAGTTCTCCCATATCTGTAGGAATGTTTTTGCTCCCACCAGTCTGTGAAAAGAGGGAGAAATATCACTGGCATGTGACCTCTCACTGGATGTATATGTTTCCTGCTTTGAACTTCTCTGTCTCCCATCATAGAAACCTCTCCATTGCTTTCTAATCAGGCAAGATTTCTCTTATTCTGTATCCTGTGTTCTCTTCATGCATGGTTTACAGTCATGCTCCAAGTTCCGCTCAGCCAGATGTAATTCTGTCTCTGCCCATGTCTTAGAGGCAGCCTACAAGTTCACCTCAGTCACTTTTTCATAAGTAAAGGAAGGTCTTAGAAAGTTCAATTTCGTGGCTCACACCGGTAATCCCAGCACTCTGGGAGGATGAGGCATGTGGATCGCTAGGTCAGGAGTTTAGAGACCAGCTGACCAACATGGTGGCATGGTGGAACCTCATCTTTACTAAAAATATAAAAATTAGCTGGGCGTGATGGTGTGTGCCTGTAATCGCAGCTACTTAGGAGGCTGAAGCAGGAGAATGGCTTGAACCAGGGAGGCAGAAGTTGCAGTGAGCCAACATTACACCACTGAACTCCAGGGCAACAGAGTGAGATTCCATCTCAAAAAAAAAAAAAAAAAAAAAAAGGAAAGAAATGTCAATCTCCCCAGTTCTTTCTAAAAAAAAACCCAAACAACTTTTCTGGATGGTTGTATGGCTAGGGACTTGAAAAGCATAATTTTACTGTTAACTCTGGGCAATGAATTTTCTGTCTAGGTCAGTATCCAGCTTCTCAATAGCTGAGTGTTAAACTTTATGGCTTAGCTATCATGAGAAGGCTGCAGTGTGATTGATGTGCGTGTGTGTGGGTGTGTGCGCGCACACGTGTGCATGAAAAAGAAAAAAATACATCAGTGGAATATTTTCAAACACATTTTTCCCTATAACTTCTGCATCACTGCTTCAAAAGATTAGGTGCTGACTGTAATGTGTACAGTCTCTGCAAATTTCTCATATGAAATATGCGGTTCTCTTTTAGACTGGCAGAAAGAACAGTTCCAGGTCCGTGAGTGATGTGTTCTTTCTGGGTACTCCTCCTGCTGCCCCTTTGCCTTGCTCTCTGTAATGATGCAGATGCTGGCTATCAATAATGATGGGGTGGGTGGTGGAGGTGACAGTCATAAAGCTGGGGCTGGTCCCCAAGAAGCCTGTGACATATCCCCAAATCAGCCTTTTGGTTTCTTTTTCTGCTTGGAGAGCATGGGCTTGAGTCACAAAGTGCTTATTTCAGGGGACTTAGACCTCCCCCAGGCAGCTAAGTGGCTTGAAGTGGGTGTTTTGCACCATTGTTATGGGGCAGGGGAGGGCCTTGTGTGATTGGTACCTCTCTCTGCAGGGTCTGTCACTCTGGATCCAGGCTCTGCCCATCCCAACCTTGCCATCTCTCATGAAAAAAAGAGTGTGACCTTCATTGTTATGGGGCAGGGGAGGGCCTTGTGTGATTGGTACCTCTCTCTGCAGGGTCTGTCACTCTGGATCCAGGCTCTGCCTATCCCAACCTTGCCATCTCTCATGAAAAAAAGAGTGTGACCTTCATTGTTATGGGGCAGAGGAAGGCCTTGTGTGATTGGTACCTCTCTCTGCAGGGTCTGTCACCCTGGATCCAGGCTCTGCCCATCCCAACCTTGCCATCTCTCATGAAAAAAAGAGTGTGACCTGGAAGGACACCTGCAGGGGCTCAGATGGCACCTATAGCATGTTGGGCCTTGAGGGCATCACACCAGGGCGATGTTACTGGGAGGTGGAGATCAAACACGGAGACAGCAGCGAGTGGACTCCGGGGATCTGTAGAGAAGGTGTGAAAAGGACAGATCGGTACAAAGGGTCCCCAGAGAAGGGGTTCTGGGCTGCAGGGTGATAGGACAATGGATGCTGTGCCTGCACTGAACCTAATACTTTGCTATATCTTAGGCGGATTCCCTACAAGGTGGGAGTTTTCCTGGACTAAGCGAAGGGGATGGTTTTCTCTATAACGTAATTGATGGGTCTCACATTTTCTCCTTACCTCTGACTTGCTTCTGTGGAGCCCTCTTTCTATACTTCATGTTAAGGTCAGGAGATGTGTCCTTGACCATCTGCTCTGTGGTAAGTGGGCTTAAGGGCCTCCCTGTGTCCCCTAACAATTCTTCTTTGGAGGAGCCAGTGAGCTCCCCAGGGGAAGGGTTCAGCCAGGCTCAGGTGTTGATGGTGCTCCCCCAGGGGTCGAATCTCCATTTCTCCCCCGGAACCCTGAGGCTTTGCCCCCAGAGGCCTTATCACTGCCCCGACCTTCGCTGTGGCTCTTCCAGGAGCTGCAGACTTCTTGTGGCAGTAGCCTCTGACATAAGTCTTGGATGGCCCTAGGAGCCTTGTCCTCCTGTTCTGGATGCAGACTCCCGGGCTGTGTGGTTATGACAACAGTCAGCTCGTGCCTTGTGTTCAGAAACAGAAGACGAAAGTTGACTATTGTTCGAATTGATCTGGGGTAGGCTGAAGTTAACTGTAAAACTCATTTTTGTTTTGGTATTAAAAAATATTTCATGGGGCTGGGTGTGGTGGCTCACGCCTGTAATCTCAGCACTTTGGGAGGCCAAGGTGGGTGGATCACTTGAGGCCAGGAGTTTGAAACCAGCTGGGCCAACATGGTGAAACCCTGTCTCTACTAAAAATAAAAATAAAATTAGCCAGACATGATGCTCCTCACTGCATGCCAGCCTTGGTGACAGAGCGAGACACCATCTCAAAAAAAAATGTCATGAGATTTTTATACTTTTGGACATGGAAAGGGCCTGAGGGCTGAATTATTCTGCAGAACAAAGAGGAGTTTATCCAATTTGAGTTTGTTCAGGGGGATCCAGAGATTGAGAATAATCTCCAGCTCTATTTTGTGGGGTTCGGACTGTCTGACCAGAAAAGTTGGTCATCCAAAAATATCCAGGGAAATGGTGGCTTACGGACTTGTAAGATGAGAGGAATCGAAATCTAATATTGTACGTTTTTTGCTTTTTCTTTGTTTTGGAGACAAGGTCTCTGTCACTTAGGTCAGAATGCAGGGCTCAAACAATCATCCCACCTCAGCTTCCCAACTAGCTGGGAACACAGGCATGTGCTACCATGCCTTGTTATTTATTTTTATTTTTATTTTTTAGTGGAGAGAAGGTCTTACTACGTTGCCCTGGCTGGTCTTGAACTCCTGAGCTCATGTGATCCTCCCATCTTGGCTTCTCAGAGTGCTGGGATTACACATGTGGGCCACTGTGCCCAGCCTAATATTGTACTTTATACATTTCTTCTTCTGGGATGAATGAAACAAATCTTTCCAAGTCTCAGTAAGTTTCTGCTACCTGTGATAAAACTGTGCTGTGTTAACTCAGGGAATTAAGAGTAAGACATAAATGAAGTAGAGGCTTTTCATGAACAAGGTGAATTGCAGAAAGCTTTGAACATGAGCATGATTCCTGTTAATCAATGTATTAGCACTTCCAAGTCCAATGATAAGGGCTAATGGAAACCACAGCAAACAAAAAGAGGCAGTTATTGAGGACCTAGACCCATCAGGAATGAAGGAGTGTTCACTCTAACAGGTAAGGAACTCTGACCAGCTGTGGTTCTGGCTGAACTGAAGGTAAGAAGGGATGGAGTGGAACTGAAGTAAGTAAGTATAAATGTCAGTTCTAGCCTTGTGACCAGCTACAGAAACAAGGATGTAATAGCTTCCCGTATTTTCTCTTTGCTTCTCATGTGTATGTGCTTATTTGTATATATCAACACTTTTCTTTCTCTCTCTTCTTCTTACATGTATGATTTTATATAGAAATTGTTGGAAGTTCTGTTATAATATAGTCCTTTTGGTAAGGGTATATATAGTCAAGGAAACTGCGACTGGATTTGAAGAGTAAATAATACAGCTCTATACTGAGCTATATAATGAATAGGACTCTCTCTTCATTTTGGGGATAGTGTGAGAACTTTGTCACTTATAAGGTGGCTTTGTCTTGATTGGTGAAAATAAATAATGGTTTCATTGTTGTATAAAAGTTTAGGCTGGGTGCATGGCTCATGCCTGTAATCCCAGCATCTTGGGAGGCCAAGGCAGGCAGATCACCTGAGGTCAGGAGTTCCAGACCAGTCTGGCCAACATGGTAAAATCCCATTTCTACTAAAAATACAAAAAATTAGCTGGGTGTGATGGTGGGTGCCTGTAATCCCAGCTACTTGGGAGGCTGAGGCAGCAGAATTGCTTGAACCCAGGAGGCAGAGGTTGCAGTGAGCTGAGATCATGCCACTGCACTCTTGCCTGGGTGACAGAGCAAGAATTCATCTCAAAAAAACAAAAAGTTTAAATATGTGTAATATGAAAACTGTGCAGCTAAAGGTATGAATGGTGCTCAATATTATTTTATTGCATCTTTGTTCCAAATCCACTCCATCTTTGTCCTGCCTTGTGGGTCATTTCTTCTTTGCCATCTGGCACAATGTTAGATTTTGACAGGAAATTGCACTGGAAGGAACACTGCATGACATAGCTGAGAAAGCAGCTTCATTCTAATTCTTTTTTTTTTTTTTTGTGAGATAAAGTGTCTTTCTGTCACCCAGTCTGGAGTGCAGTGGTACAATCTCGGCTCACTGCAATCTCTGCCTCCCAGGTTCAAGTGATTCTCCTGCCTCAGCCTCCTGAGTAGCTGGGATTACAGGTGTCTGCCACCACTCTCGGCCAATTTTGTATTTTTAGTAGAAACAGGGTTTCACCATGTTGGCCAGGCTGGTCTCAAACTTTTGACCTCAGGTAATCCACCCACCTCGGCCTCCCAAAGTGCTAGGATTACAGGCGTGAGCCATTGTGCCTGGCCTGCCAGGCTTTCTTGATATGCCCTACCACCATGAAATTTATATTCTGGAGAAGACTGAGACAGAGGCCAATGGGGGCAAGTTTGAGTCTTGCCAGGTCAATACTTGGGCACTGAGCAGAGTGACTAGTGTCGGTGTTTTGACATGTGTATATAACTCCGGCTGGAACGGGAAATGTTAATTTAGTTCCCCCACACAGCCTGTTGGGCTGCCTCTTGCAAACTGGGAGGCTTTTGCCTGTGGTTCCATGAAAAGAGATTTTTTTTTGTAATGTGGCTTGGCCCCCACAGCTATGGTGAAGCAAGCAGGGTCATCAAAAGCCACTCTTCTCTTCTGGAAGCAGCAGAGAAAGGGAAGCCAGAAACCTGACAAGCTGGTAAAAACCTAATTTCTTACCAGCTAGCCTCTGGCCTTTCTCTCTCTGTGCAAATGAGTTGAGTGAACAATAAAAATCACTGTTTATCTCCTCTTCAAAGTTTTGATTAATAGGGAAGAAGATTTGTGTGACTAGTCTTAGGCTGTAGTGAATCTTGTGTACTTTTGGTACTTTGAACTATAAATATTCATGTTGCTTGGCCCCTTCTCAGAAATCACCTTTTTTTGCCACCTTCCTTTGTCTTTGCCTTTTTATGTCATTCTATCATGGAGAAGGGTACCATAGGCTAGAATGCAGGCCTAGGATCCCTGTAAGCCTGCTTTTCAAGCCAGCCCTGCAGACTGGTTGGTTACAAACTTTGCTGCAGGTCCCTGAAACAAAAACTGGATAGATTTCCCTCTTGTCTTGTTTTATGTGGCTGAGAGCTTGACTTTGCAACCATGTGGGGGCACTCTCTCTCTTGATCTCTGCCAACTGGAGGGTGGGAATTTTTGGGTTCAAGTCAGGTGGCTGGTCTGAAAGGATAGGGAGTTTGAGACACATTAGCACACTCTTCATCTCGAATGTGTCAAGCCCTTAGGTGAATTTTTTCTTAAAAGGTCCCGAGGTCCCATCTCTGCTGGTTGGATTTATTGGAACAACAACAACAACAATAACAACAAAAACCGGTCCTATTTCTACAGGACTTTTGTTGTATTTTGCTATCTTAAACCCATTCCTGAGAGGGAATACTTGGGGATGCTTCCTTTATACACTTTCTAGGAATACCTTTTACTTATATGGCAAAAACCTGGAAAATTACCACCTAGGATTTAAAAAAGTCTTTTAATTTGAGTCTCTATGGGAATTAAGCACACACACCATTGAAAGAAAAAGGATTTTAGAGAACCATTGAAAGAAAAAGGACTTTAGACATCCCTTATCCAAAACAATTGAAGAAAGATTAAATAATAGTGTCATGGCTAGCCTTAAAAATTCTCTTGAGCAGTTAAAATCATTTGCAAGCTTGAAAATGACTGCTCTAGATTGCTTCTGGGAAGAGCACTGGCAACCACCCTATGCTTTAGCTCAGTACCTAAGTCTCTGCCCTTTCACCATGGTGGCCTGGGATAACTTCCCAGCTCAGGGAATGAGTCCTTCCTGGCTTGGTATTTGTGGGACTTTCTGCCGTTTATTGTTGGACAGCTTCTGATTTCCTGTCTTGAATTTTCCTTTTTCTGAGCTACCTTTGGGGTGATTCTAGATCTTGTAAAAACTGCTTGCCATCTCTTTGGAGATATTCATCTGTGGTTAAGACTCATTGGTTTCAGATGGGAGGTTATCCTTGGTAGAGTTCAAAAGCCAGAAATATCAGCTGTTTTTCCCAGCTAAAAACTGGTAGTAAGAGATCTGAAAGAATTTTCTTCAAGAGCTCTATAAAGTCAAATTAATTAAAACTGATTTAGGATATATGTGTACAGATATTGTTTTAAAGCCTCTGCTCTCTCTGTAAAAACTTCCTAATCAACTGAATTCTGTTGATTAGCTAGGAGAGAAATATACTTTTAGAGATGGCCATTGACAGTTGTTTACAGTGAGTAGTTATTACTACAGGGTGGTACTGCTTGTTTTTGCACAATTAGATAAGAAAAGCATGCTTTGGGGCACCTAGAAGGTATGGAATGAGAGATAAGCTCCCATGGAGGACTGGGTGATTACAGAATAGACTGATTGCCACTGGGTTGCCCACCAGCCTCAGGCGTATGTCCTTGCAGTGAAGTGCACTATAAAAGCATTGCACTGTCTTGTCCCATGGTGTTCTCCTCTTTTGAGGACCCAGGATTCAGTATAAAAGTGGGATCCTTAACTTTGGGAGATCTGTTTTGCCTTCCAGCTGTGCCTG